ACAGAAAGCTGATCGTGATATGATGTCGTGCTTCAAAACCCGTCATTGTGCTGACTGGCATTTTGAGCACAGCATAATGACCAGTGATGACAGGATGCATACGTGTTAGCCACTGATTGCGTCCTATTCTACCAATCGTTGGTATTTTATAGATCCTAAACTAACTACTCGCAACTGAGTTCTACTGCAGTGAGTGCTCTACAACAACTAGTATGGCAACAGCTGGTGGGAAAGCAGTTTTTTTTCTGCCTGTTGTATCTTCCAATGATGGACTAAATTCCGTGTTTATGAGATAAAGATTATCATTTTTTTCCTCTCTGCTGTATGTACATGCACTGTGTAATAAATTGTTCCCTGCCTGCTTTGTGTAACTGCAAATGATTGTGTTTCAGCACGGCAACAATGAAGTATCATGTTAATCTGATAGAATCCTATTAGCCTCTGTTAAGGAACAGATGCTGCTACGCAAGCAAATCTATTTAAAAATTCAGTTTACTAAGCTGCTTTAAAACTAATTGATCGCAGATTGAAAGTCCTTAATGGATACCAAAGAGATTCAATTAGTTTCAGGTGACTGCCTGTTCCGTCTCCAAGAAGGTGATCCTTTTAGAAAAATAGATATTTGAGCTGTCTGCTAGTGAAGGATTCTGCTGTGAAACGTATTTAGCCTTCATCAGTGGTGCAGAAATTGAAGTGTTACTTAAAATCTAACAGCTAGGGTTCACAGGGATCAAAGCGTGAACGCGGCTCACGTGTCTTCAACATCAATTACTAATGCACGCAGAATGCAATGTACCTGCAAATTGCCGTAAGTGCTAAGGAAGGTCTTTTGAGATATTACTTGCCTGCCATGGGTATCTCCTGTTGTGAAATGTGGAATTGAGGCACCTGTAGCATTTTAGACTGTTACAACACAAATGAAAATTTTACTTATGTCTGGGCTGGTGTTTTTCTCCACTCAAGCCACCTAATCTAATTGACTCTCCTGCTCCACTAACCATTTTTTTATATTCCTTTTTTGAGCATTTTTCACATTACTTTTTTTGGAAGAATTTATGGACTCTGCCTCTGCAATGGTTTGCGGCAGAGCATCCAACCTGTTTGACGTATTTTATTCCCTATCTTTTGCTTCCTAATTCTTTTGTAATCGTCTTCAAATGTGTGCCCTGACTTACTGAACAGTGGAGTTAAGGATTTGTAGCAAGTGAAAACATTGCAGGAAATACAGCTTGCCAAATCTGTCAATTTTCAGTGAAATATTCTGCAAAAGTTGGTGTTAAGTAACAACAACAAAATTACATTTGTATAGCGCCTTTCACGTCGGGAGGACGTCCCATGGCGCTGGACGGACAGAGTTACAGACTCGAGCTGAGGATCGGGGTGGGGGAGGTAAGGAAGATTGTATATGTTGACAAATTTGAGTAATATTTGCGTCTTTATATCGAGCAAAGAATCCTTTTTTTGTTTTTCTGTGGCTGGGGATGCTCCATTTATTTATTCAAATGATTACTGATAATGACCAAAGCAAACAGCTTATTTTACTGAATGTTCCTATATGGTATCCTCAAAAATGCAGAAAATAGTGTACAGGAAGCCAAGTGTTACTCTGGATACACATGTTCAAGCTGTGCCAGCAAATACAGCATGATCCAGTGCAGGCTGGTTATTTTTGGAAGGAATTATTAGGTAACATTTTTTTAAAAAATAACTGGAGGCACTACATAAAGTTCCACTAATCATTTTTTTCTGTATTTACTTTGTTCTGGATTCAACCATTAAAAACAATGTTTGTAACTATAATTTAAAAAATCACCTAACTATTTTTAAAAGCCTAAGTTTATTGCACAAGAACAACCCATTAATTTTATGTACAATGGAGATCTCTGTGGTTTTTTTTCTTTTAACTACAGACCATTAGTCCAGTTGCGTGGTCCGTGCGGAAGGAAATTGTTTGCCAGAGAACAAATTCAGTAACAAATCAATTTAGGCTTTGCTTTCAACAACTGTGATACTGTGATGGATTATAGTATTTTTACTGTAGTTCGGTTGAGTGTTTTTTGTGAATTACATGGTTTAATGTCTTGTAAATAAAGGTAGATTTATGCTGCTTTTTTCCCTGGACGTATTTCCCCTTCATTTCTCCTCTCCAGAAGGTAGTGATTCATACTGGGTGTTTTCCTCGAGGGACTACTCTTGATGTGACAGCATGGACACGTGGACTAAGCATTCAGTTGGGGGGAAGGGGAAGATAAGGGTATATGACAGTCAGGCCCACACTCCCTTTCCAGCAGATGGCCTTGGATAGAGTTGTGGTGTGAGAACAAATGTATTTCTCTCCCTAGCCCAGGGAATAGTTCTTAAAGGTAGTGCCTCACTACCGGTCCACTAACTCTGGTAACATCAGGTAACTCAGGAATGACCATTAAATCATTAAGATGACGCCCGATTCTATCTCTCTGCCTCCACCCTTGACTCTAGGGCCACTGTGCTGACAGAATGTCCGTCAGATATCAAGTCCTGGAGGGGAGCTAACTTTCTTCAGTTGAACGTCAACAAGATCGATGCTCTCCTGATTGGCTCCCGTCAGCGCCTCCTTACCTCAGGCGCTGACAGATAGTATCACCATCCATGGTTGCACACTCCACCTTGCTAAGCCATTCCGGAACCTTGGGGTCTTGTTCGACCCTCAACAATCCTTTCTACCCCACATTCACACCATGACCCACTCTGTCTTCCCCCACCTCCGCAACATCGCCCGGCTCCAACGCTGACCCACACTGCAGGCCGTCGAAACCCTCATACACATTACATCGAGGCTCGACTATGCAAACTCACTGCTTGTCGGCCTCCCCCAATTCCTTCCTCCACAGGCTACAGATCATCCAGAACATTGCAGCCCATGTCCTCTCCCGCACTAGGCTCCGTGACCCTATCACCCCCATCCTCGCCCAACTCCACTGGCTTCCCATCACAGAGATGATATAGTTTAAGATCCTGGTCCTTACCTTCAAAGCCCTCCATGGTCTTGCTCCCACCTACCTCTCCGACCTCCTAACCCCCTACCATCCTGTACGCTCCCTCCACTTCACGTCCCGCACCTTGCTCCCCCCACTATTGGCGGGTGGGCCTTCAGCCACTCTGCACCCACCCTCTGGAACTCCATCCTGCAGTCCCTCCATCTCGCCCCCTTCCTTGCCACCTTCAAGACCCACCTCAAGACCCTCCTCTTCGACCGTGCTTTTGATCTCCCTGCTTCTCCCCCCCCCCCGGCCTCTGCACCCCCCCACCCCGACCCTCAACTCGGGTCCGTAATTCTATCTCTCCAGTGTCTTGGGACGTCCTCCCGACGTGAAAGGCGCTATATAAATGTAATTATGTTGTTGTTGTAAAACAAATAGGTAATTCTGGTCACTATAGGACCTGAATCACTAGCAGAACAATTTCCTCCGTTTGCAGTTCTGCATTTTGTACCTTTTTTCTTTTGATCCTTGTTATATCCTTGTTACATACTGCCTGACAAGGTGGGCATGATGGACTATAACCATGTCCATCAAGGTATGTCGAACCAGCAGTGGGGATATGCAGGAGCATACACCACATAATGAAGTCTGGAGGAAGTACATGCTGTTCAAATTCTTCTCCTAGATATAGAAGGGAAAGTTTTAGAAGTATCATGCACTTGCAACAAGCTGTGAAGATGACACACGAAGAATGCAAAGGGAAATAGACAGGCTAGGTGAGCGCGCAAGAAGGTGGCAGATGGAGTATAACGTGGGGAAGTGTGAAGTTATTCACCGAGGTAGTAAAAATAGAAAAGTGGATTATTTTCTAGAGGGGGAGAGACTAGGTAGTGTTAGTATTCAGAGGGATTTAGGTGTCCTTGTACACCAATCACAAAAAGTTAGTATGCAGGTACAGCAAGCAACTGGGAAGGCTAATGCCAATTTGGCATCCGTTGCAAAAGGGTTAGAGTACAAGTGTAGGAAAGTCTTGCTGCAGTTGTATAAGGCCTTAGTGAAACCGCACCTAGAATATTGTGTGCAGTTTTGGTCTCCTTATTTAAGAAAGGACATACTCGCCTTAGAGGGGGTGCAGCGTAGATTCACTAGGTTGGTTTCTGGGATGAGGGGTTGGACTAATGAGAATAGGTTGAGTAAACTAGGTCTATATTCTCTAGAATATAGAAGAATTAGAGGTGATCTAATTAAGGGTCTTGACATGGTAAATGCCATGAGACTGTTTCCCCTGCTTGGAGAATCTAAAACTAGGGGTCATAGTCTTAAGATTAAGGGTCAGCCTTTTCGAACTGATTTGAGGAAACATTTCTTCACTTAGAGGGTAGTGAATTTGTGGAATTCTCTACCCCAGAAGGCTGTGGATGCTCAATCCTTGAACATATTCAAGACTGAGTTTGATAGATTTCTAAAGGATACAGCAACAACAACAAAATTACATTTATAGAGCGCCTTTCACGTCGGGAGGACGTCCCAAAGCACTGGATAGAGGGATAGGATAAAGGATAGAGGGATTTAGGAATATGGGGATAGGGTGGGTAAATGGAATTAGGTTAGAAGATCAGCCATGATCTTATTAAATGGCGGGGTAGGCTCGAGGGCCGAATGGCCTACTCCTGCTCCTACGTCTTATAAATTATCACTATAGTTCCTGTTGCCTAGGTTTTCTCTTGTGACCCATCTGTTAGGACAATACCCATTTCAGGCTGTGGCCTTGTCATTGGTCAACGACTTCAAATCCCACCATTTTTCATTCTTTCTTGTTGATTTCCCCCCATTATCTCTTCGAAGTGATTCTAGACGTTCAGCCATTCAACAGACTCTGTATAAGTGCAATTTATGTCATCTGTACATATCACTACAGAACCCTTACTTTAATCAACAGTATGTTTCAGCTGTGTTTGACTACAGTGCAATACAACAGTACCACACAATGTCTTAAGATTTTGGTAACAGAACATTAATTTCTATTTGTTCCTTCCACAGGTGCACTGACAGTTGGTCTCGTCCGCCGATGCCAAACAATTCATGGGCGTGAACGGACGTGTGTTCCTCCACAGCTTCCACCCGAATGGGTTACAACACTGTTTTTCATTATCATGGGGATTATTTCATTGACTGTAACGTGTGGCCTGCTGGTGGCATCACACTGGCGAAGAGAAGCCACCAAATATGCCCGCTGGATAGCCTTCGCTGGAAGTAAGTTAGTTTTGGACGTGCATTAATATTAAAATCTTAAACTCTTGCATCTCATGTAACCTGCACATCAATAACCATTTAACTTGAGGGTGAGTTTAAAGCTGAGTTTACAATTGTGAGTTCATACAGAAGCAGTGCTCTTAGGCTAGTGATCCTGTGGATTTCAACTGGTTTGCATTGCAAGATGGAATCCAAGTGTAACTCTACTTGCGCAGTCGGAAATTTGCCCCGATTCTAACAATGTGAATGTTTCTTGCTTTTGTCCTGTGTACTTCAGACAGACCAGCAAGCCATCTGGGCACACTCATTTTTAGTGTTCAAGTGCTTTCTTTGAAATATGACTTGTATGTTTTGAATTTTAGTTGAGGTCAGAAATAACAATACTGATAAACAAGCATTTCAGAAAAACAAATATTGTGGCATCAGAAATGATTCTGATTTAAATTCAAAGGGAAGCAAAATTTCCGTAGAAACTAAGGAAGTCGAATGGAATTTTAAAAAGTGCATTTGAATACAAGTCGAAAGGAAATAACTCCCTGCTAGAAAAGGGGGAAATAATGAGACCAAAATGCACAATGACTGAATAAAGACCCCAAAATGCAGAATTTTAACAACAACAAAAAAAAATTACATTTGTATAGCACCTTTCAAGTCAGAAGGACATTCCATGACGTCCTCCTGGACAATCAGTGTTTTGGACCTGAGCTGGGGTCGGGATCACGGAGTTTAGAGAGCAGGGCGAAGGAGGGTGAGTGGCAGAAGGCCCGCCCGCCAATGGTGGGGCGGGCGAGGCAGAGGAGCAGGCAGGTTGGTAGGGGGTTAGAAGGTCACAGAGGTCAGGGGGAGCAAGGCAATGGAAGGCTTTGAAGGTGAGGACCAGGATCTTGAAATCGTTGTGTGATGGGAAGCCAATGGAGTCAGGCTAGGATGGGGGTGATGGGGTTGCGGAGCCTGGTGTGGGAGAGGACACGGGCTGCAGAGTTCTGGATGATATGCAGCCTACGGAGGGAGGAGTTGGGGAGGCCGACAAGCAGGGAGTTTGCGAGGTCGAGCCTGGATGTTACGAATGCGTGTATGAGGGTCTCGGCGACCTGTGGAGTGAGAGAGTGACGGAGCCAGGCGATGTTGCAGAGGTGGGGAAGGTGGAACAGGACATGACACGGATGTGGGATAGAAAGGATAGTTGAGTGTCAAACAAGACGCCAGGTTCCGGACTGGCTTTCTAAGGTGGAGTGTAAAGAAACAAGAACAGAAAAGTAGCTAGGACTGGGATTTTTAGTAGAGAGCAGAGAATAAAATGGAGAAGAAACTGGTGCAGTGATGTACAATATATATGTTGTAGCGTGATGGATGCTAAAATATAAAGTATAATTTAATTAGTAATATTCTGGAGGATGTAGAAATGGCAAATCGAGTAAATAAATTCTTCACATTAGATTTAATTCAAGCTGAATTCTAGCTCTAGAGAGGGAGAGAATTCACTATTTGAAGATAATTCTTGGGATTGGGATTCGATAACTCTTGAGAATCCAATTTATTTTAAATAACATTTGAGAGAGGACATGATCCAGTTTTTCTGAACAAACATTGACTTCTTGGCTGGGTGAGTGGGGCATCACACCGGATGACCTTGTATACATCTATATATTTAGCATTGGTTCTTGCTGGTTCTAGCTCTTCTTAAAACGAGTTCATATCTGTTTAAAAAAGATTTTGAAAGTTAGGGAAGATATAGATCTAATCCTGTACACAACAATGATTCCTTTGTTGGGTGCATTGACGTGTCATTTGAGGAATTCAACTAGTTAGAGTTGAATAGTGGAATAGTATGGGTTGTGAAGTTGGACGAACATGTGATGGCTTTGTGCTCAATTACCCTCAAAGAAATTTCACAGAGCTTTTACCTGGAACACGATGTCTCAGGAAACTGAGTGAGTTGTGTCGAGTACAAAATGGAGCAAATTGTACCTGGCCACCAGAATCAGTGGGTTTAATGAGCTGAATGACCTCATCTCATTCGACTATTTTCAGGCATTTTAGGAATTTTACTGCCATGCTTTTGGCAGACTATTCCATCTGAATCTCGAATCTGAAACAAACTGTAAATGTGTATAAATCCATGTGCTTGTGCAGCAAAGGAATAAAAGTTTGAGTTCTGGTTTATTTATTTTTGCAATGTTGTTGGCCAATTTTCTCACTGATTCTGAAAATACGGACTCGTGCTGGAATAGATTTTCACAGGAACTGGCAAACCTCCAGTCCCGGGTTTGGGTAGTGAGTGTAGGCCGGCTGTGCCACCGTGGGAGGCTGAGCCTGATCCAGTCGGTCCACATAACAGGAGCGATGGGCTGTGACCAAGAGCAAGAACAGTGGCGGGCTTTTATTTTCCCTCCTTATCCCACAGGGAGTTCATTGTAAACCCCGAAACTGAAATCAGCTGAGCTAATGGGAACGAATAGCCCGTTTTACCAACTAAGGCATTTGTTATACTATTATCTACCATCATAGAGCAGCCCGAACATTCTGTTCTGAAATTTCAGGTGGCTTGGAATTGTGCAAAATTCAGTTTTAATTTAGTAGTTGGATTTCCGCAGTCCTTAAAAATCGAGACTGATTTTTAAGAATGTAACTGTTCTGTGCCACCTTAATTTTTAAGACAAAGTGGTCTTACAAGCTAAGACTAGATTAAATTACAGGCCTCTGTTGTGTGCCCTGCAGTTTTCTTCTTCTTTAACTTTTTAAAAAATTCTTAATCTCCTAATTTTTACTCTACTCATTTCCTACCAAAACAACTACTGTAGACAGTGTTCCAATACCAAACAGCATCTCTGTCTGACAAACATATTCTCCGGCACACACGGAACATGCTCATCGGGGATTACGAGCCAGTCCACAAAAGCACTATTTTCCCTGCTGCTTCCACAGATTGGTGTCTGTCTGTTACTGGAAAATGTAGCCAGAGAGACAACACATTTTTGGTGTTTCTCCAGAGATATGCTACTTTGGTCAGATTGCTGGTCAGAACTGAGGTGGTGTGTGATATTGCTTGCGGTAAAGTTCATAAAGAACATTAAATATAGAATGAGAAAAGGCTATTCAGCCATTCAACCCTATCCCCTCAGATCCTGACTGGTAAATCACTGGAGTCTCGCTCTTGTATGTTGTATCAAAACCCTTTTACTCCCCCACCCTCCCCAGTGTTACAGCTTTACTCCGTTCTCCCAACTATCAGTAATTTTATACAGAGCATATAATACTATATTCCTGCTTCAACACTACTTTTAAACTTCACTTTACCTTAGCTTTATAGGGTTTGTCTTGTAACCAATCTGTTGCCTTTTGAAATCAACTGTTTGGAGCCCCACTGTTCCCTTGTAAAACAAGCTATTACCTGGAGCTGTCTCCTTGTTGCAAGGAAATTTCTTCTAAAGCCAATAGTTGATCAATGCTTTTATCCCGAAAGCATGTTGTCTTTTCTACAGTTACTAATTTCAGTAGTAATAATTTATTATACATTTTTGTTATTATTGTATATTATTAGTAATTTAAATTAATTGACTTCTTACCCTTATCTGTTTAAATTTTATTTTAAACTTCTGAATCCTTGTAATTGTGTTTCATTATTTTGTACTGGATAACTAGATGAACGTCGGTCAAGGAAATGCCAGGAATTTCTGCTTTGCTACCCTCTGCACCAGTGCTCCACCAACTGCCAAGGTGCTGACTCATACAAGTATATTTCATACCCAACAACCTTCTATTTGTGAGATGATCGAATAAATGTTGGCAGGCTATTCAACTATAATCATATCACAGCCGTGTCAATTTTGTCCTCATTCAACAGCTGCAAAAGTCCACTTTCCAGCATGAAGTAGTAGGACCTTTGACTTTTCTTTCCCTAACCCAGTTGTAGTGCCTCTACAACTGACAAAGCGCTCTGAGACGCCGTCCGGCGTGGAGGGCGCTATATAAATCCAAGTTTGGTGTTGACATTGTTATAGCTCAATAAAAGGATTGAACCTCTGGCCTACTCAGCTCTGCATGGTTTGGTCAGACACTGAGCACCAGCCTTACCAATTCAACCACCAATATTGCATGCTTCTAAACCTCTTCGTTAGTAATTTGGAAAACCTATTAATTAAAGAGAGAATAAAATAAGAAATGGGTGCAAAATTCTATCAATCAAATCAATTGGCAAAAACGCGGCCGATTTATACAGAATGCCCTCTCAATCATAAATTTGCGCTTTTAATTCATTGTACTGTAATACTTTTCAACAGATAGAATCATACAGCACAGAAGGAGGCCATTCAGCCCATCATGTCTGCGCTGGCTCTGAAAAGAGCAATCCAACTCAATCCACTGGCCTTCTTTCTCTCCATAGCCCTGCAATCTTGTCCTCCCCAAATACCCATCTACTTTCCTCTTAAAAGTTGTTATTGAATCGGCTTCCACTACCCTTTCAGGTAGTGCATTCCAGATCCGAACAACTCGCTGGGTGAAAATTATTTCCTAACCTCCCCTCTTTTTCTTTTAACAACTAACTTAAATCGGTGTCCTCGGGTTACTGACCCACATTCCTGTGGAAACAGTTTTTCCCGGTTCAACCTATCAAATCCTCTCATGATCTTGAAACCCTCTATTAAATCCCCTCTTAATCCTCTCTGCTCTAGGGAGAATAATCCTAGTTTTGCTCACTTCTCCTCATAACTAAGGTCCTTCATTCCTGGTACCATCCTAGTAAACCTCCTTTGCACCCTCTCCAATGCCCTATCATCTTTCCTAAAGTGTGGTGCCCAGAATTGAACGCAGTACTCCAACTGAGGCCTAACCACCATTTTATAAATATTCAACATAACCTCTTGACTTTTGAATTTTATGCCCCTGTTTATAAAACCTAGTATCCCATATGCTTTTTTATGCTTTTTCTGGTGCTATCCTCCTCACCATTAACTACTTTTCCTAGCTTAGTACCAATGGCAAATTTGGAAATTGTGCTCCATGTAACCAGGTCCAGATCATTAATACAGATCAGAAAGAGCAGTGGTCCCAATACTGATCCCTGAGGGACACCACCATACACCTTCCTCCAGTCAGAAAAGCAACGATTTACTACCACTCTCTGCTTTCTGTCTCCTAGCCAGTTCTGGATCCATGTTGCCACAGTCCCTTTATGTGGCACTTTGTCAAATGCCTTTTGAAAATCTAGATAAACTATGTCCACTGCACTACCTTCATCCACCCTCTCAGTCACTTCATCAAAACATTCTATTAGGTTTGTCAGACACGATCTGCCTTTAACAAATCCAGTAGTGTTGACTATCCTTTATTGAACCATATTTTTTTCTAAATGACTTAGCCTCCAGAAGTTTCCCGACTACTGATGTTAGGCTAATTGGCCTGTAGTTCTCAGGTTTATCCTTCTGCCCTTTTTTGTATAGGGGAGTAACATTTGTAACCTTCCAGTCCTCTGGCACCACTCCAGTGTCCAAAGAGGATTGAAAGATTGTGGCCAGAGCCTCTGCTATTTCCACCCTTGCTTCCCTCAGTAACCTAGGATGCATCCCGTCCAGACTGTGCGTTTCCCAGTCTATGTTAGGATAATTGAAGTCCCCCATTATCACTATTGGTTTTGCATCTCTCCGAAATCTGCTTGCAGATTTGCTCATCTATCTCCTTCCCACTATTTGGACGTCTACAGTAAATACCTAACAGAGTAACAGTTCCTTTTTTGCTCCTTAACTCTAACCAAATAGATTCAGTTTTTGGACCCTCTACCACATCGTCCTTTCCAGGACCATGACCGTGTCCCTAATTAGTACTGCCACCCCTCCTCTGTCACCCCTCCTCTTTTCCCTTCCCAATCCCTCCTGAATAGGTTGTAGCCAGGAATATTCAGCTTCCATTCCTGTCCTTGCTTGAGCCAAGTCTCCATAATTGCCCTACATCATAGCCCCATGTGGCAACTTGAGCCTGCAGCTCACCAAGCTTATTGGTCACGCTCCATGCATTTACACACGTGCACTCCAAGGCTTAATCTACTCTACATTTCTCCCCCTTTTTTGTTTTTTCCAAGACTATTACTTGTTTTATTTCTATTTGTCTCTCCTCATCCACTATTTAACTCGTTTCCCCTCCCTGATGCTTCATTCTGATCCCCATCCCCCTTCGAAATCAGTTTAAATACTCTCCACAGCATTTGTTATCCTTGTTGCAATGACATTGGTCCCAACCCTGCTCAGGTGTAACCCATCCCTCGTGTACAGGTCCATCTGCCCCAGAAGTAGTCCCAGTGGTTTAGAAACCTGAAACCCTCCTTCCTGCACCATTTCTCCAGCCAGGAATTCATGTGTTCGATCCTCCCGGTTTGGTGTTCACTTGCATAAGGCATTGGGAGTAATCCCGAGATCACCACCATTGAGGTCCTGATCTTTAGCTTCTTCCCAAGCTTCTGATATTCTCTCTGTAGGGTCTCAGTCCTTTTATCACCGACATCATGGATCCCGACATGGACCACAACTTCCGGATTTTCCCCTTCCCCCCCCGTAGTATATTTTGTACCCATTCCATGAGGTCATGCACCCTGGCCCCAGAGAGGCAGCATACCATGAGTGATTCATGTCTTTTATGGCAGAAACATCTGTCTATCCCTTTAACTGTTGTATCCCCAATAAAAACAGCGTTGGCATTTTTCCCTTTGTTCCCCTGAACATCTATTACCTTTCGACTCTTCTTGCCGGAGGCGTCCTCACCGGTATCCAGTACCGAGAACCGGTTTGTGAGTGCCACACTCTTAGGGGATTTCTATACTGCCTGTTCATTTTTTTGCTCCACGTCCAGATATTGAGTAACGTTTGAATGGCTTCTTATTCTCTGAGCAGCCTTGTTTCCTTTACCACAACTCTGCAGTTGTTCTAAATGCTTATTTAGGGTTAGTTTTATCAATTATTCATACCACCCTTTGATCACATAGATCTTGGTATCTAGTAATATTGTTCAGAAAGAAGATCTTGCATGTAAAAAGCTCCATAAAAACGCACGTAAAACTAGAGAGCTGAAGCAGCAATCTGTACTGCTGTAGCCTGGTGAGCTTGTCACTGCTTCCTGATTGAGGATTTTTGCAACTATTGAAATCAAAACTTGTAATTCTGAGGAATCTCTGTCCTTCTGAGAATTTGGCACCAGATTAGAAATCCTCTTCACAGGACTGAATATTGCTATCAAAGCTCACTCTTTTTTAAATGAAACCCTGCATGCGCACTATTATTTTCCAGTGCCCTGGGCTTTAGTGCCTCTTCCTTTCAGAAACGCTTCCTTTAATAATGTGAATTCACTTCGCTCTGCTTCACAGTAAATCCTATGAAGTGCTTTAGGACATCCTCCTGACATGAAAGGCGCTATACCAAATGCAAGAAATATTATTATTTGGTAGCATTGGACCAGAAGGTCATGGATAATAATAATAATGATATTATAATAATCCTTACATTTGATATAGCGCTTTACACGTCTTCTCAACATCTCAAAGTGCTTCACAGAATAGACTGTAAAGTGAATTGACCGTATATTTGAGGGCAAAACGTGGCAGGCAGTTGTGCACAGCTGTGTCCCACAAACAGTCCTGGATTGAAACTGACCAATTTATTATTATGTTGTTTTGGAGGGATTATTATTAGGCGTGTGGAATAAGGAAACTTGCCCAAGGTTTAGCCCTGCCTGGAATGGAATTGCAAGGAGAGTGCTCTCACCACTGAGCTACAGGACTCCATAGATTCAAGTCAGGATTCAAGTCCCATGTTGGAAGTTCAGCTCTTAGTCTAAGATAACAATCCAGTATAGTACAGAAGGGAAATACAACCAGAGCCTTTCCTTGTATCAGTGGTTCAGCTGCTCACTGGATGAATTTGCTGAGCTGTCAATGAGCCTGGAATTCTTTTAATTACGTATCTTATAGATTTTTTTAAATGTTTCTCTTTCGCTTTGTTCACCTACTGTAGCTCAGTTCCAGCATTAAAAACCTGCAATAAAAATCTTAAATTACAATTTTATTTGCCATTTTGAGGAACCATCTCTATTGCTGACTTTGTATGTTCTGCATTAGAATCTTTCCAGTTATCTCCACTTCCTTTTCTGCAACGTACTCTGCAGGGCATCTGAGACGACCAATTTTGTTTTTAGTAATTGGATTTGCTTTCACGCTTTACCATTTACAGTAGAGATGAAGTTCTGCAAAAGAACAGGTGGTGTGTGTGTGGCCTGAGATTCTGGCCGGCAGCCACTGCAGATGAAAAAGAGCTTTGTGCCATAATCACAAGATCTCACTGTCCTGAGATATGCTGCTCGAGCTGTTAAGGGCCTTTCTTAGACCAGTTCCCAGTGCCCCGGAAATCCACAGTGCAGTTTCACAGCTTGCAGCAACCTGTGGAGTGTGAGTACTACTAGACATAAAACAATGTTTTCTGTCTGACCAAGAAATACATAGTCTTACAGTGAAGTCAGCTGTGCCAGTCACCTATTAAATACAGCTGCTCCCCAAACACAAAACGATGGGAGTTGCAAAAATTAAAAATGAGTCATTTACTTCAGCATTAAAATGAATCTGAGCGTGACAGTTATTGGATCAGTTTGAAGGGGCTTGTTATTTGTTTACAGCAGGAGGAGAGTTGATCTCAGTGCCGGGGCCAGGCTGATTCAATGATTACAGTTCCTTTTTTGTGTGTGGCAAACCAGTTGTGGCACCAATCAATTGTTCATTGTCTTCCCGGTGACCTGGACAATACGATTGATTCGTAACTGCAGGTACTCTCATCCTGGCATTGGGTCACGAGTGTAAATTCAATTAAGGTGCTATGTGTCGAACCACTCTTGTCAGTGTTGTGGTGTTTGGTCTTGGTGTGGTAATGTCATGGAAATAAACTGATATGGCAGCAAAGAAAATCCTCTTTTAATTATTTTGATCATTGTATAACAAAGTATGTTACACCCAAAATTTTCAAAGATAATTTTTAATGACTCTTAATGTTTCCTAATAACAATGTCATTCTTTTTATATAAAGCAAAGCTCCACCAATGTTTCACCTCCCAAGTTTTTCCGCCTCCCAAGTTTATTCCCTCAACCTAAAGGTGTCTGATTTCTTTTTCCTTCAACTCGTGCATAGCTCCACAGGTCTTTGTTGCTTCCCAGTATCTCACCCAAGTGACTATTGGACTGAGTGTCAGAGGGCTATTTGTCTGTCGAAGCCACCACAGCCATTGCTGATCCTGTCTTCAAGCGCTCCGAGGCGTTAACGTCATGAAGGCCGCTATGTAATTGCAAGTTGTTGTTGATTGTTGTTCACAAACCGTTAAGGTTTGAGCCATCCTGTCCGTGCACGATATCCTGTGTCCAAGTCACACTTGCCATAGCAATCGCTATATCTCGCAATTTGGAAACCTGTTCTAGTGCAAACTCACATTGTAACAAAAATTAAATCATGCACAACTTTCATTAGAGCAATATTTAATTTGTTAGGTAAGTAAATCTTAGAATCTACAGCACTGAAACCGACCATTCATCCCAACTAGTCTGTGCTGGTATTTAGACTCCACATGAGCCTCCTCCGAGACCCCTCTTTTCACTTGTCTCATGCATGCATCAAGTTGCATCTTAAATGCATTGATGCGTTTTTGCTTGAACCAAAGCTCCTGCTGCATTTATGTTTGAGACTCTAAACAATTCTATTTTTTTATTATTTCAATGTGTAACTAATGTTTTTTTTCTTTTTCTGACAGTGATCCTATTTTGTATGGCAGCACTCATATTTCCAATTGGATTTTACATCAATGAAGTTGGAGGACAGCCCTACAAGTTACCCAACAACACCCAAGTTGGGTCATCGTATGTACTGTTCGTCTTATCCATCTTCTTCACAATCGTAGGACTCCTCTTTGCCGGGAAGGTTTGTTTACCTGGTTGATTTTTTTAAAAAATAAAATAAAAAATGGCCTAACTGATTCTTCTGTTACAAGAAAGCTCGTCATCAGAGTGAGACGTATTCTGCAACGGGAGACTGAAGGGGATCGCAGATGCAATTTTTCACTAATGAGGATGGTTTAAATCTCTTATCACTATGCACTTTGGAGACAAAGAAGAGGGCTCTGTCCCCTCAGCCTCTGCAGACTCGGAACTTCATGAGCACGCTGCTGCTGTTTCTAATGCGCTTGAGGCTGTCCTGTGACTGGAACTAGGAAGACTGCACTTTGGTGAAGAGAAGTGTGTAACCCTATTAATACTATACCTATCATGGTTTCATATTAGCAGCAAATTTAACAAGCCAAGCGCTTATTTTTGCCATTCCCCCCCCCTCTATTGATTCAGTGCTGCGCTGGAGGTAAAGCAGGGCAAGTCCAGGTGGGGCTGGCCTCACTATGAGTAAAGCATGCTGCAACCTCTCAATCAATGGTGGAGCTTTTGAAACTGAGAATAACTTAACACTACTTAAACTCAAGTGATACCAAAACTGACTTGATCTGAGGCTTGGAATAAGAATGTACTACCAATGGCAAGGTCAATGTGTTAGGAGGCCTGCAGATCAAAGATTGCTTTCTATTCTGTACAAAGCAAATATGGAAATGTATTCCTGCTGGATATTAAAGCCAAATATATTAATTTTAAGTAATATTTAGAAGAAAAATCCCTTCCTATATTTTATTTTTTTGGCTGATGCAGTATAATGTATATGCAGCTAGGGAGAAGTTCATTTGCTTTTACTGGAAAACACCAGTATGTGAGGCAGAAACCATTAGAATAGCCATCTATAAAGGTCAGTGGGAAAGTCCTCAGTTACCTCATTCTTTGTGTTTGATTTCCACTCTGTAGCAGCCGAACCCCCAACTCTACAGGATACCAGAGCAAACTGCCGCCGTGTCTGTATCATACTGGGTGCAATGTTTTTTAAAGGTTGAGTAAGATGAGCTAAAAAAAAGTTTATCTTTATTATTAAATTATTTGTATATGAGGAAGAAACAAAATGGGATTGTGACATATCTTTTAAACACTCCACTGCTTAAAGTTGCTTATATTACCATACCTGGCTGCTATCCTGGCAATGGCGGTTCAGTCATCCCCTTGTTATACTAATGCTACTCATATGTATCTGTGTAGACTTGTAAGTAAACCTAACTAGCCATATCCACGATCTGCAATCGTTCCAATTGCCTAGTTTGTGCTTAGCTGTTCTGGGCAATCAGACGTATATTAAAGATGCCACTAACTGTGAAAGCTGACCAGTCCATTTTTACACTTCAGGATAGATGTAATCACATAAGCTGCTTGTTTAGATTAGTTAGTCCCATGCTGATGTCCAGGAGACGGTTTGGGTTTATTTGGTGTGATGCTGGACATCTGTAAAAAGGTTCAATGTTCATGTTGCGGGGGTTGGGCTCGCTCTCTGATCAGACAGACATTTTGTAAGCTCTGTGTATCTGTCACTTAAGGAAACTATGCAGAATTGCAATATTCTAATCATATTTCTCTTCTTGGTTCCATCAATCAACTTGTTTGAAAATTGTTTGAACTCTAATGGATACCAAATCCTGTCCGAGAACAGGGCAAATGAGATGGGGAGCACTGGTATAGAGCCGGCAAATCCTCCTAAAAGATCCCAAAAGCTCTGACCCAGAGGTTCCATCTCCTATATTTTATTTGTATTTTCCCATTGCTTTTTGGTACCAGTGCCAACCAGTTATTTTTATTTTAAAAGGGCCAGATTGGGCTGGACTGATAATGTTTTGCTCCTGGTCTGTCCCAGGATATGTCTCAAAGATGGTGTTGGACTATTGCAAATGAGTCCCCAAATTAATAGGTCATCAAATCTTCCATGTTCAAACATTTGCATAAGCTGTCGACATTCACTAAAAGAAGAGCGACTCGTAACTAGGCATGGAGTTTGTGGCATCAAAGTGACATGTCCAAAATGTTACAGTAACGGCACAAGCCGTATCCATTGACCCGCAGTGTTTTTTTTCATTTCGGCAACAAAAAAGTGTAAGAGAAACCAATCCATTTAGAAATCATTTTGGGTTTTTATTAAGCATATGTAATGCCTCAGCATTTATAGTTTTGTTTAAAAAAAGGTCATGGGTCAGTACTTGTGTGCTGCCTAACTCTCTTAAACCCTAATAGTCTACAATGCTGTATTTGTAGGAAGATCTACATAAATGTTATCTATCTGCTGACCAGCATCTGCTTTGACAAAACGTCACAATCAGAATTATAACTGGACTTTAAATGTGGATTAAATCAAGTGTTTCTGGGCTATGTGCCCTTCACTCTCAAAGTTACAGATTTATTCTACATGGCACCAAGCATGCAGTGTGCTGTTGGAGAATTGTCAGCTGAGCATATATGTGCATCGGGCTGTAAGTGACTTTTATGCTTAATGACCAACACAGAGCAGCTCTTTCAATTTTAATTTCCTTGAACTAAAAATAGCGTAACTTATTCCCCCTCCCCCAAGTTAATGTTTGTCAGATCAATTTCTCTGCATGAACCAAATTCACACTTTAATATGCACAGCGCTTCTCAGAACAAGCAGACAAGGACTAGTGGGTCTCTGTTGTTTAAACAGTTGTACGTACAGCATATTGCCTGACATTACACTAAAATAGTTTCTCTCCAACCTCTATTTATTTGCTTCAATGCTCTCGACACTCGCCCCTCTCCCGAATAGAAAGCTGCTTGCTGTATGTTACATACAGACTCAGCAAATGCATGGCCATTGCATTGGGTGTTATGCACAAATAGCACTTTGACTTCTTGTCCATATAGTTCAGATCACATGCTGCTTTTTTGCACAAAAGAGGTGCGAGTGAGTATTTTTTAATTTCACAAAAAAACTGGCTTTGGATTCCACAAAATTAGTTTCCCTTCTCCCTCCCCCACCCTGAGTCCGAAAGCAATTGCCATGAATCGCAATCATGATTGACTCAACTGAGGCCAACAATGAGCTTGCAGTGATAAGTCTGTATTAAATTATGTCTGTGTACAGGAAATTGACCTCTGAACAAATCGGGGCAACGTTTAAATTAAATAAGACATAATTGTGAAGGATGATCAAAAAGTCTTGTTTGGCCAAAGAAACACAAATCAATTTATAACAGCTCTAGTGTTTTGTTGTGTGCCACATTTCTCTTTTCACTAAGTATTTGTTTACATTCTGCAGGAAGGAAAGCTGCTCCAGCCAGTTACCCTTTTCAGCAGGTTTAACATTTTAGGAAGACAATAAATATACTTTGAGAACTCTAAAAGCTCATTTATAAGCCTTAAAACACATTAAACTATCCGTTTACATGAACTAACATTTCACAAAAGCCTTTGTGATATTGAAGTTTTTTAAAAAAAAGACCCTTTTTGAGGCAATGGAACATTATCCACTGTTTAAACAGTTAGTGAACTGGTAGGACCCACCAACCATTATATGCTATATGTAATGACCCCAATTTGAGAAACTATTATGATGCAGTTCCAACACTTGAAATAGCCATCGCTAAAGACCAAATAATCCTATTGCAAAGCCATCTGGATAAAATGTAATCAGGGCAGTGCAACTCCACCTTTTTGCTACATATCTCATTTTGGGGCTTGTTGTGTACTCTGCAGTTCACTGTAATAATTGTGGCAAAGCAGCCCCACAAAGTAATATACCCTAAGTGTCTGCTTATTGTTTGAATTGCCATTTAATCTACTGCAGTTTCCCCCCAGGGTGAAGGATTAAAATAACTGATGATGGTTTTCTGAAGAGATTGAGGTTATCACTACAATCATCAATGGTGTGATTTTTTTTAAAAAAGCGAATTGTAGAAAATTGAAGATTTTTGAGCAGAATTTTGTAAAATTCCTGTGCTCCACAATCTTTTGCTCGCACTATCCAGTACACTCTGTTCCAATTACTTCCCTACAGGTGTCTGTTCCCTATATTTTACTGAAAGAGTTCACTCTAAAACAGAAGAAAAAAAATTCAATATGTCCAAATTGATTTCATTGCCAACACACCTGTTAAACACTAGCATCATGCAGTTTGTTCAATGATGTCTCTCATGGTTGTGATATAATATCTTCATTTTAATATGGATGTTTCCATTCACTTCCACTCGTCTGTCAATTGTATGTAATCATGTCTGAAGGACATAACCATGAAGGATCGCTCGAAGCCTCACCATGCCTGCAAATGAGTTTGTACAAGAAAGACCAAATGAGATCTGGTAGCTTCTAATATAAAGTCGCAAAAGGGATTTTTAGGGATATGTGCAAACGGCCTGTACAATATCCAAAGTTATATTATCAGTGTTTTATAATTGGTTCTGGCAGTTTTTAAACAATAATTTCAGAAGAGGAATTGTTAATACATCTGTACAAAGAGAACATAATTTTCCTTCACTTGTATTTTTGTTATTGAGCAAGTTTATCAAAATAAAATGATTGTCTACTAAATAAATTGGTGGCTTCTTAAGCAGTTTATTCAGTGATTTCTCTCGTAGTTGTGTTGCAGTGAATTATTTTATGAATGTCATATTTTCACATACATTTCCTCCCCTCTTCTCCCATCGTCTTCTCCCTTCCTCCTCCCCACCCCCCACCACACACATATGAATAGCTACTTGCCTGTTTGCCTTGGGTGGCAATCATAGAATTATACAGCGCAGAAGGAGGCCATTTGGCTCATCGTGCCTGTGCCAGCTCTTTGAAAAGAGCTTCCAAATCAATCTCACACCCTCGCTCTCTCCCCATAGCCCTGCAAACATGTCCTCCCCAAATAATTATGTACTTGTCTCTTAAAAGTTGTTACTAAATTGGCTTCCACCACACTTTCAGGCAACGCATTCCAGATCCGTAAAACTTATTGCGTGAAAAAATTTACCCTCCCCTCTTTTAACAGCTATTTTAAATCGGTGTCCTCAGGTTACCGACCCACCCGCCAGTGGAAATAGTTTCTCCTTGTTCACCCTATCGAATCCCTTCATAATTTTGAAAACTTCTATTAAGTCTCCTCTTAACCTTCTCTGCTCCAAGGAGAATAATCCTGGCTTCTCTCGCCTCTCCTGATAACTGAAGTCCCTCATCCCTGGTACCATCCTGGTAAATCTGCTTTGCACCGTCTCCAATGCCTTGACATCCTTCCCAAAGTGTGGGGCCCAGAACTGAACACAGTCTCTGAGGTCTAACCAGTGTTTTATAAAGGTTCATCATAACTTCCTGACTTTTGCATTCTATGCCCCTATTTATAAACCCTAGTAACCCGTATGCTTTTTTAACAGCTTTATCTACCTGTCCTGCCACCTTCAAAGATTTACTTATATGAACTCCCAGGCAAAGATTTACATTTTTATAGTATCTCATTATGTCAAAAGGTCTCACAAAATACTTCACAGGAATTACTGTCAAATGTGATGACTGATGTTTATTGGCAAACACAGAAGCTATTTACACACAACTAAATTCCACCATTTGGCATGGTTTGATCTGGAGGGTTGCTGGCCAGGATACTGGGATAATTTATTAAAAGCTGAAGTGGTCAGTCTTCGCAAGCGACTGGCCAGCACCAAAGTATTACGGAGGGAGAAGTCTTTATAAATGACGTATTAGAGGAGACCTTGCTTGGGGGCACAGTAGGAGAGGAGTCCATGAGTAGGAGAGGAGTCCATGGTACCTGGAGAAGGGAATTTGGTCTCCGTTAGAAAAGGGGCCAGAAGTTGTGGTCAGCTGATGGAGCCAGAGAGGGCATCCCTGGTTCTCCAACAGTTTCTCTCTGGAGAGAGATGATATGGAAACCCAAGCAATGGCCACGACAGGCAAGGTAGTGCAATCCAGCAGCCTGCCAGGGAAGGAGGGAAGAAGAGAAAGAGTAGCAGACAAGTTATGATATTAGGGGATTCGACTGTTTGGTTCGCAGATCGCAAACTGCAAACCAGACCCAGAAAATAGAATGGTAAGTTGTCTCCGGGTGCACGGGTTGACACCAGGTTGACCAAATGCTACAGGGAGCAGGTGTGGAACCAATTGTAGTTATTCATGTGGGAAGAAATAACATAGATAGAAGTAGACCAGAGGTCCTTCGTGCTAAATTTAGAGCATTAGGAAAGAAGCCAAAGGAAAGACTTCCAAGTGTAGTATTTTCTAGAATACTACCCGTAACATGTGCTTGTGAGGAAAGACATCTATACAGATCGGATGGGCTCCACCTAAAGAAAAGCGGGGGGTGGAGGTGTTGGCAGGCAGGATAGATCGTTTAGAAGTGTTTAAACTAGGCACAGGGGTGGTTGCAGTAGGTGTAAGAGAACACCCGAACCGATTAGTGAAAGCCTTAAGGTGTACCAGTGAAACGGGTCCAACTCCAAAGGTTGGTGAAAAAGAAACAAAAAATGCTTATAAAGTAAATTGGAAAGGTAAAAAACAATGGAGCTGCACTTGCATTAATGCAAAAGAAGCCTGACAAACAACGTACGTGAT